TGGCCACTAGCACTTAGACTAGTCCGGGGACACGCCCCACACCTCCCGATGCCCAGCCCTACTGTCTGTCCAATGTCTGTCTACTGTCTTCCAGCTGACTTCCTCAGGGTCCTGAGCTCAGAAATTCTTAGTCCACCTCCAGGGCACCATTTCACAGGCTTCTTCAAATCTCTCAACCTCTCTTAGCCTCTTCAGTCCACCTTTAAAAAGCCAGCCGGCCATTATCATGCTCTTTCCACCCTCACCTCATACAAGTTCCCTACGCTTCTTCTTTGCAGTTCCAGCTTTCTTTCGGGGTCACTATTCTGTCCAGCCCACTCAAGCTTGGCCGTCTGTTTTAGACTGAGCTGGGTCCTGCAAAGAGCCACGCTGAAATCTGCTCCGGCACCTGCAGATGTGGCCCTGTTTGGTAAGAAGGCTTTTCTTGTGCTAAGGAGGTCTTACTGGTAGAGGGTGGATCTTAAATCTAATCCTTCCTGAGTGATGTCTTAGAAAAAGAGAAAATAGAGGTGAAGAGTCACACACACAGGGGCGGAGACCATGTGAGGATTTGTCTACAAGTCAAAGAATGCCAAGAAATACTCTGGACTGCTGGAAGCTGCCAGAGGAAAGGAATGATTTTTCCTAGAACAGACACCTTGCTTTCAGAACGCTTAACCCTCAAAACTGTGAGACAATGAATTTTTGTTTGGAAAGCCACTTCTTGTGCTATTTTGTTGTTGTTATGCCAATCCTCAGTCACTAGGAAATCCTCCGCTTTGGAATACCCTGGTGAAGGTTCCTAAGTGATCAGCATTATCACCATGTCCAGCAGTCTGTCCTCCAACCCTCACTTCCTCTGTTCTGTCTCATGTTTGCTCTCGGCTCCCAGGTGCTCAGATTCTCCAGGTTTCCTCACCTTCGCGCTGTACCTGCTCAGCTGCTTCGCCGATTTGGCCTTATCACTGCCATCTCCTATGTTCTAGGACTCGGTCCTGACTCGTGCCCCCCTCTGTCTAAACTCATCTTCCCCAGGTTCATGGCTTTAAATGCTATCCACTCATTTTGCCTCCTCGCCCAAGTGTCTGGTACTGACTGGCTCTACCGAACTCCACAGTCACACTGCCTGTAGCCAAGTTGGCATTCTCTGTGGCTGTCCTGTCACCGTCTCACATGCTTCAAAACTGATACGAGCCTGTACCTCCCCACTCTCACCCCCACCTCCCCTAGGGGGTGCAGTGGCAACCCCATCCCTCTCATGGGTCAGATGAGACAGCCTTGGAACAACCCTTCTCTCCTCTCTGCCCTCCTCAAACCATTCAGAAAAGCTGCTTGTTGCCTCCTCTTCTAAACAAGCCTCTTATCTCATCCCACCACCTATATTGAACCACCCTGCTAAGTCTGTCCTCACTGAATGCAGGAGCCCCCTCTGGCACCCTTGGTCCCCCCCCCACTTTCTCATCCCAGAGTCTCTGTATGCAGCGGCCCAAACCACCCCTTGTGCTCCTCTGTTCAAGACCTGGCATTGGTACTCAACCCACAGCAAAAATACGTCCTGGAAACTGACAAGGCCCCGCAACATCGGCCCTCTACTACCTCCCACCTGCTCCTTCCATCTTCTCCTGCCTCCCTTGGCCTCCTGGCCCCCTCCTTCACATTCAGGAGCATTTCATTGAGGGCTTAGCTCTGGTAGATCCCTGGAAGTGCCCTTGCGAGTAGTTACCCAGCAGCTGCTGGCTGCTTCCCTCAACTTCTCATCAAACATCCCTTTTTTAACAGCAAAGTCGACCCTGACCTCTCCTCTCCCCAGCCTTCATGTTCCCTAACCCCTTTAACTCCCCCTTCTTGTCTCCAATGCACTGAGCATCTTCTAACAAATGTTCTAACACAGTTATTAGGTTTCATGTTTCCAGTCTGACTCATCCACCTAGAATACAAATCCAAGCGAGGCCAGCGTCTGTGGTTTGCTCACCATTCTATTTACAGCTGCAAGAGGACTGCCTGGCGCACAGGAATTCAGTAAATACTTGTCGAATGAATAAAAAGTGAATCCCTTTTTGGTTGAAAGCATCCATGGGTGAGGAGGATGCAGACTCCTGGTAAGATCAAAGCCTGTGCTTCTGCCCCTGGTCTCGGCCTATATTGTTTTCTTTTTCTATAACAAACATTCACAAGAGAAAAAACAATGAAAGGGGATATAGGAGACTTTTCTGGCGGACCTTCCAGCCGCTCTTAGTTGTTACTATTCCAAACAGAGCAGATTTTTTTTTAAGAAGAAAAGAGAGAAAAAAAAAAGAGCTTGGAAATTCTTCAAAACATACCAAAAAATGCTTAATGACCCTAAACCAAAAACATCCCCTGAAGGCATCTTAAAGCCAAACAATAGTCAAGCTTCACTAGATTACTAAAGCAGGGCTGCCTTGAACAGTGTACTCTCATCAAGATTTATCTATATGGGACCAGATTGATAAACAGCAACTCAGAAGGTGAGATTAGCATTTTAAGGGTGTTGAATCCATGTAATTGGGGGAGGAACAACTCGGGAAATAGGGTGAGGATGGCTGTATCTGGAAGAATGTAATCAGTCTTACTGGATTGTCAAATGATGTGTATGTGTGATAGATATTCTCACACGAGGTGGTGTTGCTGGGGCCTAATGCTCGCACATGACAGAAGTATTCTTACACGAGGTGGTGTAGATATTCTCAACAACAACAAAATGCTTAAGGATGCCCAAGGGCCTCAGACGCATCCTCATGGATATCAAGTGGCTGGAGTCTGATGCCTAGGGATAAAGGACAATCTTCAACCAAATGGTCATGTGGTTACATGGCTTTTTAGACTCAGTGTATCTAATACTTTTCCTGTCTCCTGTCCTCATCCCCAGAGTCGGCTACCTACCAGTGCAGCCGGAGGAGGCCAGGCTGGGCAAGCAGTTGGGGCCTCTCAGGACCAGGGGGCCTAGGAGGGAGAGTCAGCACATTCTTTGGTCGCAGGGGTCCAAGGCAAGCCCGACATCCCCACAGACTTCAGGCGGCCTTGTTGCTGTACTAACTTACAACCATCTCTGGATGGAGTGAGTTCTAAAGATGACCCCAGAGTCTGCGTTGGGACGAAGCCTGTCATTTACTGCCCGCTACCACTAACACCAACAGTCTCAAAAAGGGTTACGACTCCATCTTTTGGGGAAAAGCCAGAGAACTTCAGAGGGCAACCCCTCGTGCCAGGGCACTCTGGGCCACAGCCACCTCTAGGCCAATGTCCAGGCTCTTTCCTGGGGCCACAGGGCTGCTCTGTTAGTCTCCAGGCTGGAGTCAGGTGCCTGGAGCTGATGGGAGCAGGACTCAGGAAGCCCCCCTCTGTTCAGCTGGCACTGCCGGGGGCCTACCAGTCACCGGCTTGAGGAAGTTCTTTCTTCAGGGGTGTCCAGAGCTGGCAGGAGCCTTGCAAGCTCAAACTGGATTTTTCCTGCTGTCCTTTTGCTGGCGGCCTAGCCGAGTGCAGGGTCTCTCCTAATGAGGATTTGGTGCCAGGGCCCAGGCAATTCCATCCCACTGAGTCCCAGCTGGTTCAGGCCCGCTGGAGGCAGTGGGCGGCCTCCCAGTCCCTCCAGGCCCCGGGCACCTGAGACTGCCTGCCTCCCTGCAGCCCCGACCCTGCCCCAGGCGCTCCTCTCCCGACTCTGCTCACACACTGGGACTTACGAACCCACCTTTATTCACAGTGGATTTTACTATTAATAAAAAGATCAGCCCAACAGGGCCCAGGATCCCTGGATTTTTGTCCCCAGATTTGGGGATTTGACAGAGGATTGACACGACAGCATGGGAATCAGGGGAGGGGAAGGTGGAGGGCCCTTCCTGGGGCTTCTGTGGCTCAGCTGCCCCCAGTTCAGACGCCCCTGGAGCTGCTGGGGATGCTCCTCACGTTGCCTCCTTCCGGAGGCCTCTCTCTGTCCCACTTCCTGGGGCCTCATTAATTCCTCCCCACCTCACCCCGTGAGAAAGCAGGTCTGTGCTGAGCCTGGCTGGGGCCCAGAGCTGGGGATGAGCACTGATGGCTGGTTTGGGAGGCAGGGGATGGGGTGGGGTGGGTGATCGTCACCCCAACCCCAGGGAAGGGGGCAAAGGGACTTTCATTACATCCTGGCCTCCACCCTACCTTCCAGGGACCCCAGAAGTCATAAAGCCTAAGAATATAAAACACAGCTGGACTTAAGTATAATATTTATAAAAGAGGCTGCCAGCCTCCCCACGCTAGCCCCAGGCTGGCCCCTGGGATATTTAGATTCCCAGGTGGAGGGACATTCTGAGTGCCCGACTTCCCTTCTCCCAATAATGGAATGTGAGCTGTGGCCCAGGCCTGGGCTGGGGTGGGGTGGGAGTGGGGGGAGTCCCAGCCTCCCCGGGGCTGGTGAAGGTAAAGGGCAGAGGTCCCTTGGGGGGTCCACACTACGTCCACCCTCAACAGCAGCTGCTGGTTCCAGATGTGGTGCAGAGGGTCTCCTCCTGGTACAAATGGGAGGAGGGAACACAGGTGTTCAAGGGCCCAGACTAAGGCCTCAAAGAGGCCAGGGGAACAGAAAGAGGGAAGGCAAGTCGGTCAGGGGGTAGGAGATGAGACCCCCCAGGGCACAGACCCTGGCCCCAGTGGCAGAGTAAGGGGTGGCAGCAGAATTAGGTTCCAGCCTGGGTGCCCCTCCAGGCTGTGTGAACTCAAGAGGCAGCTGCCTGTCCTTAGTGCATGCATCTGCACCAGAGGCGATGACAAGAAGGGGCAAGGGGTGCAGCCCCACCTCTGTCCCCAGCTAGGGAAGCCCCTGTATCTGGAATCCAGCATGGTGGTGGCCCAGAGGCCTTGGTCCTGGCTCTTTAACACAAGAACTTCTACAGCGAGGATACGAAGGCAGGGCTGAGGTGTTAACCTCAACCTGCTCCTGCTTTGCGACTGGATAGGAGCAAGGGCTGGACAGTTTGGGCAGGGGTTCTAGGACGAGCAGGCAGGGCAGGACGGGGGCACTCCTAGTGGTGTCCTCCATGCTGGTTGGTCCCTGAGACCCAGTCATTGACGATGAAGCTCAAGCTCATGACCATCATCAAGAGACCGAGCATGGCGAAGCAAAGGGCCTGGGGGTCAGAAGTCAGTGTCAGATCTGAGGTCCGAGTAGACCCCCGTGCCCCACACCAGCCCACCAACCTCCAGGCCCCTCGCACCAGGATTTTCGGGGTGGACTTTGCAGGCTCCTTCTCAGTGGGCACGATGCGGAAGTAGAAAATGGCAGGGAAGATGAATATGAGGCATGGGGCAGATGTGGCACCTGCCAAGAACAAAGTTTGTGGCTGAATCCTTCAATGAAATCCTGTATCTCTATTAGAGGAGTCTAACCACGTCTCAGAGCAGAGGCGAATGGTCCCTAGTGCTCCTTGATTTTAAGGAATCCACCATCCTCTCCCCTAGTGCTCTGTCCTCCATGATTAAAGGCTAATGCTGTTGGTGTTAACAGGACCTGTCAGCAAGTGGAGTTCAAAGACCAAAGAAGAATGTCAGGTCAAAAGAGATGGAGAGATGCAGGGCCTGGAGGATACTGTATGGATTTCTGGATATATGCCTGACATATTTTTTCATTATTTAAATCAATATATTCTTTCTTACTTAATTAATTTTGAGTTGGGTTTTGGACACACAGAACCAAGAGTGTGGGTCATGACTTCTAGGATCCTTAGCTCCAGGTGTGTGCATCAGGCCCTGCATTTTCCATCTTAGAACCCCATCTGAGATGGTGCAATGATTGGAACACTAAACCTGGAGTCCGCTGGTCCTGAGTATCAAGGCTGTCCCACTCACTAGTTATGTGACCATGCCGTTCCCTTAATGACCCTGAGATTCAGTCTCCCCATATGTGAAATGAGAGCAAGATCAAATGAGATCCTGTGTGGAGGGCCCTGGTCCTAGAACATCTCTTCCTCATCTCCTAAATGGAGCCGTGGCTCGGTGGTTCTGAGCCCTGAAGGGAATCAGACTAACATAGAGAGGTGGTCAAGTTGTACATACAGCCAACAGCCATCCTGTAAATATAGGGACTGAGCTCAGGAACCAGCCAGGATTCACAGAAGGGAAATTCTCTGAGGAACTACCCTCCCTCCATGGACAGCAAGGCCAGACTCTCACCGATGACCCCAAAGATTCCCAAGATGTTGGGGGCAAAGATGACCAGCAGGTTGATACAAGTGAGTAGGATGATGGCGATGAGCACATGTCGCAGCCAGCTGAACTCCTGGTTCGGAAACAGCATCTGCTGGATGGCTCGGCGCACCTGAGGGCGAGTGGTGGAGAACCGTCAGCCCCTCAGTCCCATCAGAACCCCCCCTTCCTTGGACTGGGGCTCTGCCCGCTGGCTCACCGGGAACAGAACAATTGGCACTGTGAGGGTGACAGCCGTCAGCACGGCCACGCGGACACACAGGATCAGCACATCAAACGGGTCCACCTTGTTGTAGGTGTGCAGCAGCTCCGACTCCACCCCGTCTGCGGCAGGCAGGGAAGGTGGTCAGGAGGTAGCTCACTGAGGGGGCTGGGCCCCATGCCCCCCACACGCTCACCTCCACAACCGTCAGGTATCACGCACCTAATGAGCGCCTAGAGTACGCGGGGTGCCATGCCACTGACCACTGCCTTGTCCCCCCAGCCTGACCTCTGCTCCACGGGCCCAGTCATACCGTAGAAGGTGAGGTAGCCAAAGAGGGCAGCCAGGAAGTACATGATGTACATGACAGCGATGGACAGGTTGGAGATGTGCTGCATCTTACTCTTGGTGGGGCTAGGGGGCAACAGAGGAGGGAGGGTTGGAGCCAGCTAAGCCACACTGGGAGACCCTAACATGCTCTGGGGTCTCTACGGCACCATATGGTCACAATGCCTCCTTCAGGCTCCCACCCTCTCCCCATGGCAGTCAGCAAGGTCTCTGATAGGGCAACTTGGCTCCGTCACTGTTCTTCCCCCTTGGATGTGAGACCACATCCATTCTTTGCCCTGGAGCTTGAGGCTGCCCCCGCCCTGTCTCCCAGCCATGAACACCTACTCCTTGAGCTCTGTGTAGATGGGCAGCACCTCAGGGTGGCAGACGAAGGCAAAGGCCATGATAGGGATGGTGTACGCCGTCTGGGGAGACATGGGGACTGTGTTAGCATGCCCCCCATACCCTTGCTGGGGTCCCTGTCCCCACCCTGACCTGTCCGTACCTGCCTGTTGAGTGTGAAGTAGCTTGGGGCGCAGAAAGCTGCAGCCTCGGCCTCAACCTGAAGCTGTGTCTCCTCTTTGATGACCGCCACATGGCTGAAGTTGCTTGTGGCATTGGCAAAGTTCAGAGGCAGAGGGCAGGGCACATGGAACTTTTTATAGATGACCTAGGAGAGGATGAGGTTATCAGGGCCAGGCTAGGCTACCTGGGAAGTCACCACAGGGTCACAACTAGATCAGAAATGGAGGCACTGTCCCCTGACCTAGGCTCCCCTGGGAACCCTGCCCCATCCCTCTGACAGGACTTCCCTGGGACACCTGCCCCATCCTTAGCCGGCGGGGAGAGTGACTCACTGCAATTAGGAAGAACACCATGCAGCTGAGAGAGAAGCCACTCGAGTAACCGAGGTATCCTACAAGGTGGAGGAGGGCTGTGAGACTGGGAAGCCCCCTGGAGCTCCCGCTACAATCCTTGAAAGCCCTCGACCCAGACACACCACTCACCAAGCTGCCGCATCAACGCCAGGGGCAGAATGATGACAACAGAGACCAGGATTACCAGGTAGTTTCCATTTACATACCAGTCCCTGTGGGGATGGGAGTGGAAGGGAGCCAGGGTCAAGGCCCAGGGCAGGGCTGCCTGCCCACTAGTCAGGGTCACTAATAATGCCACAGCGTGACCGCTAAAGAATGTTCCTCCTTAGTGCCCCTTTCCTCACTGCAGAATGGGCATTGTCTTTGTGGTGAAATGGACTGAGGTACCATCATTATATTGTTTCACAGGCCACATAACACGGGCTCAGCCTAGAGAGAGGTCTCAAGGACTGAGAGAGGTGGGTAGCAGGGCAAAGGGAGCTGACTCTAGAAAGGGCACTTTCAAGAGGATCTCAGAGATTTGCCAGCCTTGTGGTCCTTCTTGGCCTCTGCATCTTGCATTTCCCTGTCCTGTCTGAGAACAGGCATGGGACACAGAGATCAAGGGTGGCCACCTTTTTGGAAAAGGCTCCCAGAACCCGGGAGGCAACATCCAGGTCCATTTTCCTTCTCCCAGAGCCACCCTCATCCTCAGGGCCCCTGTGCTTGCCCACGCGAGGCTGCCAAGGGCAGAGCTGTGCCTCCATCTCCTCTGTGCTTCCTACCCACAAATGTGGTAGGTACCCAGGCAGGACTGTCAAACTGATGGGCAACTGGGACACTCTGGGCTTAAGCTCTCAGCATAGTGGGGCGGAGGGGGGCAGCTAACCCAAGCCATGGTCAGGAATAGCAGCTGCTTAGAGCTAAGCCTGGAGTCGCTCACCCCCACTGGTGATCTCTGGCTGGGGCCAGGGCTGGGAAGGCAGCTTCCTTAACACTCTCCTCGTCCCAGCCCCCTATTTCCCCTCCTGGCCAGTGGATGGAAGTCGAGGGGTCCCTCACCCAGTCCCTCCCCACCCTGGGGCTCACGAGGTTTTCTCCTCCAGGTTCAGGAAGGCCTGGATGACAAGGGGCAGCTCAGACTTGATGATGTATAGGTAGCTGGACATGGCTGCAGGGAGAGGAGTGAGCCGGCCCTGGCATTAGACCCCAGCAGCTTTCATTCCTCTCCACCCACCCACCCACCCACCCACCCCTCTCT